GGGTACTGAGTTTCTGTCAGAAATCTGTGGTGTGGTGACAGAAGCTGGGGGTTCCCTGTACAATGGGTTTCAAGATGTCCTCGACATAGCCAGAGAGATTCTCACACAGGGTCCCATTACCTGATACAATGGGATGTCCAGGTGTGTTGGCTTTGTGTATCTTTGGAAGGCAGTGGAAGTCTCCTGTGGGGGAATTACGCAGGATGAGAGTGCGTAGGGTACTCTAATGAACTGGATCAAAAATCTTGACCAATCTGTTCAGTTGATGGGTGTGTTCTTTGGTCGGATTGGCAGGTAGTCGTCTGTAGTGTTCCTGGTTGTTCAGCTGTCGGTACACTTCCTTGCAATAGACCGTTCTATTCTGTATGACAATGGCTCCTCCTTTGTCTGCTTGTTAGATGACAATGTTGCGACTCAATGTCTTGAAAGCACGGGGATGGCGTTGTGTTGTGCCTGGGTGACGTTTTGCACTACTTTGTAGGTGTGGCTGACGAATCTGGCGTTCTCACATTCCCTGACGGCTTGAGCAAACCTGTCAAACCCTGGGGAGCGGCCCTCCAGTGGGGTCCAATTCAACTCCTTCTTTGCCCACTCCCCCATGGATCTCTCTGTCGACTGATCCGTTTCATTGGTTGTCTCATTGAACTCGCTGCTGACATCTTGGAAGAATTCCTGGAGTCTCATTCATCTGATGAATTCCTTTGTGTCTGCCCCGAGACCAATGGGGTCCACGTTGGTGGTGGGGCAGAAATTGAGTCCTTGGCTGAGAACTTCGATCTCGTCCGGTTGAAGGGTATGGTCAGACAAGTTGACGCTGGACTTTCCTGCGGTGGTACCGCTTTCAACTGTCAGGGGAGACTTGGTTATTGCTGGTGGTGATGCCACGTTTCTCCAGTTTCTTGCATGTAGGTGGTGTAGTTCTGTTGCCTCGTCTGTTTGGCAATGTCTCTCTATCTCTCTCTCTCTCCCCCTTCCTCCCACACACACTCTCTCTTTCCCCTCTCACACGTGTGCACACATACACACACACACAGACACACACACAGACAAACGCACACACACTCCCCCCCAACCCACAAACACATGCGCACACACACATAAATCTATGGGGTGAATTTGTATTTGCAGATACATTCTATTTTGTTCAAAATGCACACAATCTATACACAGTCAGTCAATGCGGCATTTTATAAATTCCTACTTTAGAAATAAAACTAGTCTGACTCCAAACGAAAACGAAAACAGATTCTAGACAAGGCCTCACACCTAACATGCATTGTCTGACGTAAAAAGTCACCTCTTCTTTACACTGATAAAACCTTTTAGTTCTCTCAGGTCAGTGACTTGAAAGGAATTTGGGGATTTACATATACATGTTAATCAATTAAAACTTTCTAACTACATAAAGATTTAACAGCATCTTAGCTTTGTTTACTATATTCTCATCAGCGGTGTGACCCTTTGATCTTTTACATATAAATTCTGTGTCTGACACCACTTCTCTCAATAACTCCTGTGAGAAGGACCCAGGCTTCTCAAGCTTGTGTTTTCAAATAAACCTGTTGGACTATAACTGATTTCTGATGAAGGATCTAGGCCTGAAACGTCAGCCTTCCTGCTCCTATGATGCTGCTTGGCCTGCTGTGTTCATCCAGCTCTACACCTTGTTATCTCGGACTATAACCTGGTGTCATGTGATTTCTAACCTTGTCCACCCCAGTCCAACACTGGCACCTCCACTTTAAGGTTTTAAAGTATTCTTCCTCAGTCTTTCAAAACTACCCGTTTGACTTAAGCACTAATATCTTCCTTGGGGGCTTCATGTAAAGTATTATTTGGTAACGTTGTTTTGATATGTAGCGATCTCTCTTGGCGCCTTGGCCAATAGCCCCCAGTCTCCTAAAATCTAATTACTATCATTAAAAAAATTAACCATCCATTTCCTTTATCTGGCTGCCGTATTTGTCCCGGGGAATTTTATCCCATTAAAGAGTCGTTCCAGTAATGTCTATACCCTGGCATTACAGTTCATTGTCCGCAGAAACGGCCACAAAGTTATATTGTTTCAGAGATAGTAGGAACTGCAGATGCTGGAGAATCTGAGATAACAAGGTGTAGAGCTGGATAGGAGGGCTTAGTAGGTAGGCCTATCCCCTCTTCCCACCTCAAGCCGCACCCCCATCTCCTACCTACTAACCTCATCCCGCCCCCTTGACCTGTCCGTCCTCCCTGGACTGACCTATCCCCTCCCTAACTCCCCACCTACACTCACCTTTACTGGCTCCATCCCCGCCTCTTTGACCTGTCTGTCTCCTCTCCACC